GACGTTAGACAGTTTAACAATAATGTAACAAGACGTTAGACAGCTTAACAATAATGCAACAAGACGTTAGACAGCTTAACTGTCATGTAACAAGACGTTAGACAGTTTAACAATAATGCAACAAGACGTTAGACAGCTATACTGTAATGTAACAAGACGTTAGACAGTTTAACAATAATGTAACAAGACGTTAGACAGTTTAACAATAATGTAACAAGACGTTAGACAGCTTAACTGTCATGTAACAAGACGTTAGACAGTTTAACAATAATGTAACAAGACGTTAGACAGCTTAACAATAATATAACAAGACGTTAGACAGCTTTACTGTAATGTAACAAGACGTTAGACAGCTTTACTGTAATTTAACAAGACGTTAGACAGCTTTACAATAATGTAACAAGACATTAGACAGCTTTACTGTAATGTAACAAGACGTTAGAAAGTTTAACGTTAATGTAACAAGACGTTAGACAGCTTAACTGTAATGTAACAAGACGTTAGACAGTTTTTCTGTAATGTAACAAGCAGTTTCACAGCTTTACTGCAATGTTACAAGACGTTAGACAGATTTACAATAACGTAACAAGACGTTAGACAACTTTAGTGTAATTTAATAAGACGTTTGACAGCTTTACAATAATGAAACAAGACGTTAGAAATTTTAACGTTAATGTACCAAGACGTTAGGCAGCTTTACTGTAATTTAACAAGACGTTAGAAAGTTTAACTTTAATGTAACAAGACATTAGACAGCTTTACTATAACAGTAAAACTGTCTAACGTCTTGTAACAAGACGTTAGACAGCTTTACTGTAATGTAACAAGACGTTAGAAAGTTTAACGTTAATGTAACAAGACGTTAGACAGCTTTACTGTAATGTAACAAGACGTTAGACAGTTTAACAATAATTTAACAAGACGTTAGACAGCTATACTGTAATGTAACAAGACGTTAGACAGTTTAACAATAATATTACAAGACGTTAGACAGTTTAACAATAATGTAACAAGACGTTAGACAGCATTAAAGTAATGCTGTCTAACGTCTTGTTATATTATTGTTAAGCTGTCTAACGTCTTTTTACATTACAGTCAAGCTGTCTAACGTCTTGTTTCATTATTGTAAAGCTGTCTAACGTCTTTTTATATTATTGTTAAGCTGTCTAACGTCTTTTTATATTATTGTTAAGCTGTCTAACGTCTTTTTACATTACAGTCAAGCTGTCTAACGTCTTGTTTCATTATTGTAAAGCTGTCTAACGTCTTGTTAAATTATTGTTAAACTTTCTAACGTCTTGTTACAAGACGTTAGACAGTTTTACTGCAATGTAACAAGACGTTAGACAGCTTTACTGTAATGTAACAAGTAGTTACACAGCTTTACTGTAATGAAACAAGAAGTTACATAGCTTTACTGTAATGTAACAAGTATTCACACAGCTTTACTGTAATTTAACAAGTAGTTACACAGCTTTACTGTAGTGTAACAAGTATTTACACAGCTTTACTGTAATTTAACAAGTAGTTAGACAGCTTTACTGTAGTGTAACAAGTATTTACACAGCTTTACTGTAATGTAACAAGTATTTACACAGTTTTACTGTAATGTAACAAGTAGTTAGACAGCTTCACTGTAATGTAACAAGCAGTTTCACAGCTTTACTGCAATGTAACAAGTATTTAGACAAATTTTCTGTAATGTTACAAGTAGTTACACAGTTTAACTGTAATTTAACAAGATGTTAGACAGCATTACTGTAATGTAACAAGATGTTAGACAGCATTACTGTAATGTAATAAGTAGTTAGACAGCTTTACTGTAATGTAACAAGTAGTTAGACAGCTTTACTGTAATGTAACAAGTAGTTAGACAGCTTTACTATAATGTAACAAGTAGTTACACAACTTTACTGTGATGTAACAAGAAGTTAGACAGCTTTACTGTAATGTAACAAGTAGTTACACAGCTTTACTGTAAAGTAACAAGTAGTAAGATAGCTTAACTCTAATGTAACAAGTAGTTAGATAGCTTTACTGTAATGTAACAAGTAGTTACAAAGCTTTACTGTAATATAACAAGTAGTTACACAACTTTACTGTAATGTTACAAGTAGTTAGACAGCTTTACTGTAATTTAACAAGTAGTTAGACAGCTTTACTGTAATGTAACAAGTATTAAGCCAGATTTTCTTTAATGTAACAACTACATTGTAGTTACACAGTTTTACTGTAATGTTACAAGTAGTTAGACAGCTTTACTGTAATGTTACAAGTATTTAGACAGATTTTCTGTAATGTAACAACTACATTGTAGTTACAGAGTTTTACTGTAATGTTACAAGTAGTTACACAGCTTTACTGTAATGTAACAAGTATTAAGCCAGATTTTCTGTAATGTAACAACTACATTGTAGTTACACAGTTTTACTGTAATGTTACAAGTAGTTAGACAGCTTTACTGTAATGTAACAAGAAGTTAGACAGCTTTACTGTGATGTAACAAGTAGTTACACAGTTTTACTCTAATGTAACAAGTAGTTAGACAGCTTTTCTGTAATGTAACAAGAAGTTAGACAGCTTTACTGTAATGTAACTAGACGTTATACAGCTTTACTGTGATGTAACAAGAAATTGGATAGCTTAACTGTAATGTAACAAGACGTTATACAGCTTTACTGTAGTGTAACAAGTAGTTAGACAGCTCTACTGTAATGTAACAAGTAGTTACACAGTTTTACTGTTATGTAACAAGTAGTTAGACAGCTTTACTATAATGTAACAAGACGTTAGACAGCATTACTGTAACGTAATAAGTAGTTAGACAGCTTTACTGTAGTGTAACAAGTAGTTAGACAGCTTTACTGTAATGTAAGAAGTAGTTACACAGCTTTACTGTAATGTAACAAGTAGTTAGACAGCTTTTCTGTAATGTAACAAGAAGTTAGACAGCTTTACTGTAATGTAACTAGACGTTATACAGCTTTACTGTGATGTAACAAGTAGTTAGATAGTTTAACTCTAATGTAACAAGCAGTTAGATAGCTTTACTGTAATGTAACAAGTAGTTACAAAGCTTTACTATAATGTAACAAGACGTTAGACAGCATTACTGTAACGTAATAAGTAGTTAGACAGCTTTTCTGTAGTGTAACAAGTAGTTAGACAGCTTTACTGTAATGTTACAAGTAGTTAGACAGCTTTACTGTAATGTTACAAGTAGTTACACAGTTTTACTGTTATGTAACAAGTAGTTACACAGCTTTACTGTAATGTAACAAGAAGTTAGACAGCTTTACTGTAATGTAACAAGACGTTATACAGCTTTACTGTGATGTAACAAGTAGTTAGATAGTTTAACTCTAATGTAACAAGTAGTTAGATAGCTTTACTGTAATGTAACAAGTAGTTACAAAGCTTTACTATAATGTAACAAGACGTTAGACAGCATTACTGTAACGTAATAAGTAGTTAGACAGCTTTACTGTAGTGTAACAAGTAGTTAGATAGTTTAACTCTAATGTAACAAGTAGTGAGACCGCTTTACTGTAGTGTAACAAGTAGTTAGATAGCTTTACTGTAATGTCACAAGTAGTTACACAACTTTACTGTAATATTACAAGTAGTTACAGAGCTTTACTGAAATGTAACAAGAAGTTCGACAGCTTTACTGTAATGTCACAAGTAGTTACACAGTTTAACTGTAATTTAACAAGATGTTAGACAGCATTACTGTAGTGTAACAAGACGTTATACACCTTTACTGTGATGTAACAAGGAGTTAGACAGCTTTACGATAATGTAACAAGACGTAATACACCTTTACTGTGATGTAACAAGTAGTTAGACAGCTTTACTGTAATGTTAGACAGCTTTACTGTAATGTAACAAGCAGTTTCACAGTTTTACTGTTATGTAACAAGTAGTTAGACAGCTTTACTATAATGTAACATACGTTAGACAGCATTACTGTAATGTAACAAGTAGTTAGACAGCTTTACTGTAGTGTAACAAGACGTTACACAGTTTTAAGGTTATGTAACAAGTAGTTAGACAGCTTTACTATAATGTTACAAGTTGTTAGACAGCTTTACTGTAATGTAACAAGCAGTTTCACAGGTTTACTGTTATGTAACAAGACGTTACACAGTTTTAAGGTTATGTAACAATTAGTTAGACAGCTTTACTATAATGTAACAAGACGTTAGACAGCATTACTGTAATGTAATAAGTAGTTAGACAGCTTTACTGTAGTGTAACAAGTAGTTAGACATCTTTACTGTAATGTAACAAGTAGTTACACAGCTTTACTGTAATGTAATAAGTAGTTACAAGGTTTTACTGTAGTGTAACAAGTAGTTAGACATCTTTACTGTAATGTAACAAGTAGTTAGACAGCTTTACTGTAATGTAACAAGTTGTTAGACAGCTTTACTGTAATGTAACAAGCAGTTACACACCTCTATAATTTAATATAACAAATAGCTACACAGCTCTATACTTAAAATTAAGTAATGACACAACTTTACTTAAATTTCAAAAAAGAAGTTAAAGAATCCTACATTGATGAAACAAGTAGTACCTAATGTCACTTGTGATTAAGCTGACACTTTTATTTTTTAGGTTCAAATGTATTTTGAAAGTTTGACTTTTAGTTCATTCAAAATTATTTTTATTGATCCATACACTTGCATGCTTTCCGTTTACTGTCTATATTGTTATCCTGGCCTATTTCCTGACTGCATTTATGTGGATATTTGTACTTATTTCTGTGTGAATTATATTGCTTATAAACCTATCCGTATGGCAACATGGCTAGGGTAGATTAAAAGGCTAATGCTAAGACATTTAAATAAGAAAACAAAAACAAGAATTAGACAAAAAGACAAATGTAACAGAAATTTATGACCACCACCATTCAAAATATATACTTATTGTATGTAGCTGCATGCTTACCATGTGAACTTGAAACATACCAAACGCGTGAACACATGTCTTACCTTTATTTTGGAGCGCAGTCTATGCATGTCCCGTATGTGGTCCTTATTTCCGGGGGCCGTTCGTTTCCATAGTATTATCCCCACAATAGAATAAGTAATGGCTAAAATAAGCAAAGGTACTAGATATGTCACAACAAATATAATAATTGTAAAAATTCGTCTCGCTTCGTCACCAGGCCAATTCTCTAAACATTTCTGAGTTCCGTTTCCGTATCCGGAAGTTTCAGTTGCACGTCCCACAAAAAACATGACAGACCCTAAAATGAAAGCACTGATCCAAATAACGATTATAACGTATTTTGCACGTGCATGTGTCAATCGTGACCGTAACGGAAATGTTACGGCAAGAAAGCGATCTATTCCTATCGCCATATTTGTGAAAACACTGGCCCCAACAGAAAAAATCTGGACAAATAAAACGAGGGGACAAAGCACTTCCGGAAATAGCCATCGCCCCAGTATCACATCGGCAAAGGTGAAAGGCATGCAAAATAGGGCCATCATAAGGTCTGCTGCTGCGAGGTTAATCAAAAATGGCCGAAGGTCCGTACGGGATCGCCGGCCCCGGACAAATACAAGAACAACAAACACATTGCCGGTGATAGAGAAGACGGTTGTTAGAGTGTAGAGGATTGCCAGCCCAGTAAGAGTACTGTCCGACATTGGTATGCCTTCCGAAAATGTCTCGTTTCCGGCTCCAGAATCAAACTCTGTGTCGTTGTGTCGTGTATTGGACATGTTTGCGACAGTTTTCGAAGTGATTATGCCACTTACAAACACATCTTCATTATTCAATGAATATAGCGTCTTTCCCGTCTCTACAACGTAATCTCCCATACTGCCGGCCCCTCTCAAACCATGAAGAGGGTATAACAACACCCTCTCAAAGTGTTTTCGAATACCATACAATCATATCTTTCACACCTGTGTACTCTTATCGAAATGTTATCAAGCAACACAGATACATTCAATTGACACTTGTCGACATGTTCGAAGCTCTGTATCCCGATAACTCTCTTAAGTAAGACACGCTACTTCGTCTCACTTGTTTACGCCTGTCAGCTATGTTAGTAGTTCCAACTGACTTTGTCTCTCGAGAACTCAACAGAAGAACACCGCTTTTGTGAGCAGAAGTCGGTGTATCGAATGGAACAGGCGCGGGAGGTTTGGGCCTCTCGCGCTGCTCGGGTGCGTTCGAATTGATCACTAATTAGTACAGACCTGCACGGTGCGTTGTATGAGGAAACGTATTGTAAGCAGTATACGTCGCAGCTATTGGAGATTTGTCAGTGATGTGTGAAGGAGGGGGCGGGCGCGTGTGTATTGCTTGTGTAATCAATACACCTCATATCCCCGACCGGTACATACTGGCCATGCCATTATCGATACGTAATGTATCAACCAGTTATAGACAGTTTCACACGTACATTTGTAAGTACTCCTGTATTGTTCTACCTCCGCCGTGATATCATACGTAAAGTTACTGCCGTATGCACAAAGGTATGCGATCTTGACCCGGTAAGAGATCAATGAAAAATAGATATACCTTAGTTTTGAGGTCTATGCATCTTAGCTGGTGACTGCAGGATTTGAAGTCAAAACACTATTTTGTTTTTAGAAAGGAGCAATTAATTGCACGGGCGGTGTGTGGTATATGTGTGTGGGGAATGCTAGATAACTCGCGTCCTCCCTTAGTCAAGAATCTTATACTGCATATCTCTTAAAGGGGCACAGACTGTACACTAAAAACTTCCGGGGAGAAATCAAATGTTCAAAAATATTATACTACATTTGTATAAAAGTTTTATATTAATCAGACTATACCGCTACGTATTTGATAACAAAACACAGTGGCAATCTTATCATTGTAGATGTAGAGTGAGTGCGGAAAAAAGACCTTAGATAAACGCTGGTGTAATTAGTCAAAGTGTGCAATATCATATGATAATGAACAATAAGTAGACATAGTTGACAACTGCATGTTTGTTCAGCAAACTGCCATTTTATTTAGTAATTGTTCTTGTCGTATGTGTGTATTCCGGACTGGTTGGTCCTCATGTATCTTGTCTTGTCTTAACGATCTTGTCTTGTCTTACCGATCTTGTCTTATCTCTGTTTTGTTGTTCTTGTTTTGTCTCTCTGTTCTTATTTTGTCTATCTGTTCTTGATTTGTCTTGCCGGTTTTGTTTTGTCTCTCTGCCCCTGTTTTGTCTCTCTGTTCGTATCTTTTTGTTCTTTATTTTTGTTTTAGTTTATCTAACATGTATTTACACATGTGTGTTTTCGTATTGACCGTGTCCGATCCCTTATTGTTTTGTTATACACTATGTCTTATTTGTTATGAATACAGGTATTGCGATGTAATGACATGTTCCTGTCTTGCTGCTAACGTCTTATATTAATGGTTGTTTGTCTTGACCTGTTCATAATGTCTTGTCTTATTGGTTTTGCCAACCTTTGTTGATGATCTCGTCTTATTGTTACTACTCATGTCATTTGGATCTCGTTTCGTTTTTAAAGAATATACTTTGTCATTGGTTTGGTTTGATTTGATTTGATTTGTCTTGCCTGGCCATATCACTTATGTCTTACTAAACTTGTGTACAATTCTGTATTTTGTCTTACTACAGTTGTGTGACCGCACAACGCACCAACAATAGCGTGCGCACACCGTGCATACATCGTTCACACACCGTCCGCACATTGTCCACACATGGTGCGCACAACTGTGCGATTTAACAATCGTTCGCCCCGTTGTGCGCTTCTCTCCAAACAAATGTGCGATTGGGTACAATTTGTAGATCAATATTACGGAATGAAAAAAATACGGAAAGCTCGTATGCAATAATGAAAACTGTATGTATTATTGTAATTTCTCATCAGAGTAATGAAGATTATGTACAGTTTTACAATGCGTGTAACACTGCATTACAGTGACCGTTACACTGTCAAGAATAGGTTTCGCGCCAAGGTAACATAACTGATATTTAAGAAACAAATCGTCACTTTCACACACATGTCGCACATGGATCGAAAGATCTATTCTTTATGCACTAGGTGGTATCAATAACATGTTTCAAAGATCATTACGAAAAGTATTTTCTAACGTTTTCTATACCAATCCATGTTTTTAATGGAAATTAGGCCGTGAGCAATGTCACATGACTTGACGAGATCTCGCGTTAACGTTACCGAAGGCATTTCCAAACGTTATGACGTAGGCCGACGAGATTTTAGTCACGTGGCATTAGAAGGCGGGGCTATCAAAAAACTAGAGTAAACAGAGTAAGTTTGAAAAAATATGTTTTTAGCGATTGTATTGGTTGTTTGAGGCATGTTATGTATGTTCATCTTGTGCATAAAGAATAGATCTTTCGATCCTTGTGCGACATGTGTGTGAAAGTGACGATTTGTTTCGAAAATATCAGTTTGAAGTGCGCTCAGGGCGCGGGTCGCTTATTTCCCGCATATTATAGAGGGCCGGAGTTCTGACGTTAATCGACGACAGACCGATATGAAAAAAGTTGATAAAACGTCAGAATAATTCGGACTATAGCTGGTAGTGTCTATCTACACTGTAAGGTCTGGCGTATACGTCTTGTTCGACCTATTGTCAAGCAATCGTTTTTCTTGCCCGACTGGTCGTTCTTGACAAGAGTCAATAAAAACGGAATTCCTTGGGCTGTACGTAACATTTACTTTACTGGCTAAGAAATCATTCTATGGTCAGCACACGAACATCGATACGTCTGGGGCTTTGATTAAACCTTCACATTCATATTTCATCAGAATTATGTCTATGATATAGATATTGACCTAAATACTACTGGAACAGAGTTTTCCGGGAGTCTGATTAGACCTCCATGCCCCGTGTTACATATTCCGCCAGTATGCTCCGTGTTACATACTTAAATACCACTGAAACAGGATTTTCCGGGAGTCTGATTAGACCACTATGCCCAGTGTTACATATATACTATTCACATTTTGAACGGATAACCTATATTTTGAAGAAAAAAATCAAAATGTTAGAAAGGCTATTATATTTCCCTTCCGTACTGTTTTGGGCAAATATGTTAGCCTTCCAAATCGTCATGTGTGGGTGTGTTCAGTCAACCATAAAAGCGCGTGTATGCTTTTCCACGTGTACACCCCTTTCAAAAGCTAAGCTAGGCTAAGTAATGGGTTGTTCAAATTGTTAAGGAAATCAATTTGATGAATATTCTTTGCGTGTTTTTGTTTTAATATGACACAAAGAAGAAGCAGACAACGGTGAAATGAATAGGGGCATTGGAATGCTGCAAGCTAGCAGGTCTCAACGTCAGGTCGCAACAGACCTTTGGGTGTCTCAAAGTGTGGTGGCAAGAATGTGGAATCGTTTCCAAACTAACGGAAACCCTTTCAGACGTCATGCTGGAGGTCGTTCTAGGGCTACAACGCAGCGCCAAGACCAATATTTGCTCATACAGACACGGTGTCACAGGTTCCAGGCTGCCACAGCTTTACGAAATGACCTCATAATTGCTTCTGGCAGTTAGGAACCGTCTTCATGATGCTGGTTTACCGTAGACCAGCAATACGAGTTCCCTTAACTGCCCGTTATGTTAGGGACCGATGAGATTGGGCCCAAGCTCACAACATTTGGACTCTTCAGGAATAGGAACCAGTTCTTTTTTACTGACGAGTCTAGATTCTGTCTCGACTTCACCGACAGGAGCGTTAGAGTTTGGAAACAACATAGGGAGAAGTTCCAGGCAAGTAATGATGTCGAACATGACCGATATGGCGGAGGTTCAGTGATGGTGTGGGAGGCATAAGCTTTCGTGAGAAAACTGACCTCCATGTCTTCCATAATGGTACCGTTACAGCCCGGATTTACTTCGATTACATCCTTGATGCCTATGTCAGACCCTACGCTGGCGCTATCGGCCCTAACTTCATCCTTATGGACGATAATGCTAGGCAACATAGAACAAGGGTGACTGAGCAGTATCTACAGCAAGAGACTATCCAACAAATGGATTGGCCTACCTGCTCGCCGGATGTAAATCCCATCGAGCATGTGTGGGACAACTCTCTCTGCCAGAACTTTTCAGCCAAGAACACTCCAGGAGCTGGGAACAGCTTTGGTAGCTGAGTGTAACGTTATCCCACAAAACTGGATACGCGATCTCATTCGGGACATGCGCAGACGTTGTGAAGCTGTAATTGATGCTCATGGGCGTCAAACTCCATTTTAAAACAGTTTCTGTTTGGGTTTTTTAGTGAATACCTCGTTGTTACCAATTTTAAGGGTAACCTTTTTCCAGTGGCACATTTTCCGACTGTAGTTACGATTTGTGGAATTTTTGCATGCTGATGAATTAAAAGAACAATGTATTTTTCAAAAATAATTTCAGTATAAACAATTTTTTTTTTTTTATTTTCACATATGCCCAAAAATAAAAGTGAACCGTAGCAAAATGTGAGTAATATATATATATATATGTCTAAGAGTTACGCCCACTCACAGGTACTTTCTTTGCAGAACATAAATAAGCGTATACGTAACCCCTTAAATTTCTAAGGAGGTGCTACTGCTACAACGTTAGTGATGTACACATAAATTTTACCGTTAAAGCTGTGCGCAAGGTAACTAAACTAAGAACAGCATCCACAGTTTCAGAATTATTTTTCTTAAACAGATATCAATCGTATACAAATCTATTTAAAATGGAATCTGATGAAGTACAACACTGGATAGAGATGAAATACACACGTGTAACCTTCCTCAGACACACCATCGTTCAACGTCAACCCAGCATCTACCCCGTCATCTGTCTTACATCAAAGTACACTTTTGCAGCACCGAACAAACTATAAACATATCAATCACAATTACGGACAGTTCTTATCAGACGTAAATATTGATATGGACGATTCCGCCTTACTTGATACAAATGACACAACAGGATTTTGGATAATTTAGTTTGAATTGGTTTTGGTTTCAAAATGATATAATTTTTCCATATATAAAGGATATTCAGAAATCAGGAACGTGCAAGTTTATACGTTATTTGGTATTCATAATGTTTAGCAATCATTTTTTTCGTAATACATTAGGGAACTTTAAAATAAATGTATCAATATGATAAAATTAAAAAATACTGGCGATAATTTTAATAAACTTCGAAATAAAGTCTATGAACAGGCCCTCTCCTTCAAAGTACTTTTACTGTTCACGATAAAAACACTAACTCTACACATCCATACTTGTACAGTGAGCAATGAAAAATATAGG